GCTTTCCCGTGCTAGCAGCTCAGAGCGGAGATCGAAGCATGGGAGGAAGCCGTCGTCCAGAGCCACCGGTCGGACCTGAATCGATCCCTCAGCAGAACGGCAACGGCTAAGCTCAAGCTTGAAGGAGAAGGTCATGGCGTCCGGGTCGAAGGTGACGCTAGCCCGAGGCAGAACGGCGTCCGCAGCCAGGATGACAGGGCTGAGGCAACCACGAGCCTCGTCTTTGTGCACAAGCTGCTCGATCATGGGCAGAGAGAAGGTTGCCCCCTTGATGAGGTTGGGCTTGAAGGAGAGCTTGAGCATGGCCATGAAGTCATCCATGGAGGCAATGTGGGGCTACAGGAAGGCACGGTAGGCGCGGGTGGCCGTACCATCGTCGTCCTGAAGCTGCCCAGACGCACGACGGCCATGTGACGGCAGAGGAGCCTGCCGAAGCGCCGTCCTTGGGAGGGAAGAGCTAGCACCATAACACCATCTTCACCATCAAAACGGCGAGCAGATGGAGGCCGCGGCGGTGCCGACGGGGCGCCCAGAGACCAGGCCACGTCCCAGATCTCGTTGATGAGCACATCTGTGTAGGCGCCGGTGCCATCTAGGCAATGGAAGGCGAGATGGTGGGGGATATGCTGAAGCGCCTCCACCTTGACTAGCACGAAGATGCTGGAGAAGTCATTGCCATGCAAGCATGCATGCTCGACCCGGAGAACACTGGCGAAGACGGTGACAGAGGCCGCGACTCCACGCCTGTTCCAGAGTTCCAGGGGAAGCTTCTCCAGGGAGAGGTTGACGACGTGTCTGTAGGAGAAGGAGAAGGCGTTGTCCCCTGCCCCATGGGGCAGGAGACGAACCATGTGGGAGCCGACGTAGATCGGACTCGCGCGAAAGGCCGCGGCTTGCTCCTCCTCCCGCTGAAACACGGCGAATGCCGTGCCCACCGAAGATCCCGCTAAGCAAACCGCCGCGATCCCAAGACGCTGCCGGAACACTCGACGATGCCATGGGAGGAAGTTGTGCTTGGAGGGAGATATGTTGACGAGGCAAACGAGGGTGTGCTGATCGGGGACAAGGGGGAAGTGGACGTCGAGCGAGGTGGGACGGCCGCGAACAACCGGCTCCATTGGGGTGGTGGGGGCGGGGCTGGCTGGGGACGGGAGGAGGGAGACAATGGCAAGCGAGCGGGGTGGGCCAGAGCTGGGCAGAGCATTGGGCCGAGTAGCGGACGGGGGGCGGGCATTAATAGCCGCGGAGCTGGACCTAGGGTTAGGGCCATAAACACGAAAGGAGCATTGGAAGCTGAGGTGCCCAACCCGACGGCACCGCCAGCAGACAGCGGGATCTCGACAATCCTGGCGCTTATGGTTAAGAGAGAGGCAGCGGAAGCAGCGCCGATGCATATCAGCGGGTTTACCAAATCTGAAAAGCCGATTTGGCGCGGTCCGCGAGGGATTGCCTGGTGAAGGAGGAGATAGCAGGGCTTCCCTATAGGTTGCATGGCGAGGCGGGGAGGGCTCGGCGATTTGGGAGCCGTGCGGGAGGGCGAGAGGCGCAACGGGGCACGAGGATGCGACACGCGCGCAGTCCTGACCCACCTGGGATTGGGCAGGAGGAAGGTGGGAGGGGCTATACGCACCCGTGCTGATAGGCACTTGATTACCGAACGCCGCATGCGCTGGAGAGAGAGAGGAGACGGGGGGGGGGGTGAGCCAGCGAACTCATACCAACCCTCCTGGAATCTTGGGCACGAGGAGCGGCAACCGATTGCATGGGATGGGGCCCGAGCACAGAGGGCAGCGCAGAGTTGGCCATCCATGCAGAAGAGCGGACATGCGGAAGAGACAGGGATGGAGCGAGAGACGACAGACTAGAAAAGGACATACTGACACGGAGCAAACCGGACGTCCAGCATCCCCGGAGCACGATCTCCTTGGCAACGCATGCGTGGGCAACTCGAAAGAAAAAACAACCACGCTGACGCGGCCTGACGAGGAAACCGTTGGCAAAGCCACCGAACCAGCTTACCAGGAGGGAGGCAAAAAAGTCCGGCGAGAGGGAGACGCCGTCGTTGAGCACGACAACAAAGATGCCGGCGGGGCGGCTACAGCCCGCGACGACCTCGACAGTGGCGCAACCATATTTGGCAAGCATGACATCCTGGAACCGCAATCCATCCATGGGGCGAGCGAAAGAACGAGCAGCTAGACCGACGGGCGACAGAACAGCGGCGGCAAACCCTAAAGCGACAGAACGCAGCTTGAAGGCGACTGCGACCGAAGGCGAGGGCGCAGCCAGCAAGCGGCGCAACAAGCCCACAGCGACACCGGGGCCTAAGGCGACGGCGCAGCCAGCAAGCGGCGCAACAAGCTCACAGCGACACAGCTCAACCTAAGATGACGATGCAGAAAGCATGCATCAAAGCGATGGGCAGAACACACCAAAACCAGAAGAGAAGGAGGAAAGTCACCAACCTGGAGTGAAGAAGAAACCGTGAACTTGGCAGGAGGTGCAAAACCCTAGTCGCGCGCGAGGCACACCGTGGAAGTTGTGGTCGCCGCAGCTGGAGCGGCGCGCGGCGAGACGGTGGATGCCACGTCCGGGAGGACTGCGGCGTGTTATGGTGGCCGCCGGCCCCGGAGCGATGACCGGCGGGGTGCGCGCTCCCCTCCTAGCTACCTCCAGTCAGTCTTCCCCAAGATGTCCCTCTCAAGAAGGATTTAGTGTCCTCATCTCGTTGTCGTCCAGAATTCAAGACATGATCAGAACGAAAGACTGCGCGACCTCTTATCAGACACGGTCATGACTTCCATCTCAGAATCGCTTACGGATCCCCAGGTGTATGTGCATCACGCTTAATTACGTGTGTAGCCAAACCATTTTTAGAGCCCTATGAAAATATTTTGAATCGGAAAAGGGCCTAACATTGCTCCAGGTGATCACAAGAGGAAGAAAGGCAGTCATCCATGGCAGCAACATCTTTAACATTGCTCCAGGTGATCACAAGAGAACCTCCGTCCGGGTTTATTGGTCCCCATTGTATTTCGTGCCAAATTTTGATCATAGTTTAACGGAAATGTTAATGCCCACACGTGTGGGCGTTGACCATCTCGACCACACGCATCCATCACCGTCTAGTACTATATGCACGAATCTTGGCATAATCTGGCTGATTTTCTGTGCCACGTAGGACAAGGCATGTGTGTGGTGTGTGACATAGTTCGTCCACACATTCGTTTTACCACACGGAGGGGCCGGTGTGTGGGCGTTTAGCAGTTCACCCACACACCAGTTTTCAGTCACGCACAGAGGCTGGTGTGTGGGCATTTGCCATCTCGCCCGCACGTCCGTCTCCTCTCCCACACCCCAGCTGCTAGTTGCCATGTGTTTTTGCAGTGCACATGGCAACTGCTCCTAGTGTGCTTCATAAGCAGGTGGCAACTCTCTTTTTTTACCCGAGTTGCCATGTGTTTTTGCAGGGTACACGGCAACTGCCTAGTGTGCACGTAAGCAGATGGCAACTCTCTTTTACCGAGTTGCCATGTGTTTTTGCATGGTACATGACAACTGCCCCAACGTGCACGTACATGGCAACTGCCCTAACGTGTACGTTAGCAGATGGCAACTCTTCCTTTTTACATGGCAACTGCCTTAGCATGCTTGTGAGCACATGGCAACTCTCTCAACTGCCTAGTGTTAGTATGTGGCAACTCCTAAAGTTATGAAATCATGGCAACTACATAAGATCAGGCCATACATGGCAACTGCAGTTGAGCAACCATGGCAACTGCAGTTGTCCGACATGGCAACCGTAGTTCAGCGACATGGCAACTGCAGTTAAACGAACATGGACGAGGGTCTGGACCATGGCAACTGCGGGCGTCAGGTGGGCGTCACGCTCGTGTGCGGGACCAGAAGGGTACGAGGCCTGACATACGGGCGTGTGGGCGTTATCAACTTCGCCCACACGCACGCGTGTGAGAGGGTTCGGGTGGGAAAAAAAATGTGTGTGGGCATTAGTTGTTTTGTCCACACGTAGATGTGTGGGCTGGTTGCTGTCCATGCCACACGAGGCGTGTGACACAACTACCCGATACACCACACGTGTGGCAGTTATCGGGACCCTAGTTTAAACTAACAAAATGTTCACGCAACCAAACATTATATTTTCGAAAACTATGTTTAAATACGAATCCAACGAGATAATTTTTCTTGACATGCATTAACATTTTGTTAGTTAAATCTTTAGTCAAAATTTGGCATAAACTATAAATGGGACCTATAAACATGACGGAGGTAGTAGGCGACATGCATAGTCAAAAGCGCCACTGGATATATATATACAAGTAGTACCAGAAATGCAATGAACAATAATTTGGGTATCGCCAACTCGTCAGAGCTTTTCCCAACCATGCATGTCCATTGCTCTGTAAACAGGCCGGGTCGTAGTAAATTATGCATGTTTGAGTTCTGCACTTGTGCACGCATGCAGCAGTAAATTAAAATACAGCGTGCAGCTGAACATCAAGGAGAAACACACACGTTCAGAGAACATATTTGTTCAGAGTGCTCAGGAAACGGAAGTGGGATATACCTTGCGGTGGCAGGAAATTACATCCAACATTTCATCTCCAGCTGACGAAAGTCAACAGGCTCAGTAGACAAAGTGCGTGTCAGTGGGACAGCCTGGGGGCCGCGGTATTCCTCCGGGTGGGTAGGGGCATGTCCAGAAACAGTAGGCCTGGCGAATGCTGTGGCCACAATCTTTGCCAAATTAACAACGAGCTAGCATGCATCAGCATCGATCACATTCTTCTTTCTTCATCAAGACGCACCGTCCGTTGCAGTTCATGCACACGGAGGAGGGAGGACCATGCGCGCATAACTACCATTCAATCCCTAGCTAACCGCCCGTCCCGCTCCGTCTACCTCCTCCGATCCGCCTGATCACCCAGCTGATCCCTCCCAGCCTGCAGTATATACGGAGCAGTTAGTTGTCCCGGAGCTCCATGGTCTCTCGCGTAACTTCTTTGTTCCCTTCCTCCTTATGCCGACCGGGACCGGCTATTGCCCTCTTCGTCCCCATAGAAGCTAAGATATCGGTTGTTTCTCTTTCTCCTGCTAGCTTCAGCAATGCTTCAGGGAGATCGATAACATGGGGAGCAGCCGGCCGCGCACCAAGGACTTCTTTGCAGCCCCGACGCTCTCCCTCTCGCTTGTCCGTCACACCGACCTATCCATTCCTCTCTCGCAGATCAAGCATGGACCTAATTGTATCTTTGCTTAGTTAATGATCGAGTTCGTCTTCCCATGCTGTGCGTGCAGGCAGGTGCGTTCGCCAGGAATGCGCCGAGCGGAGACGAAGTGGAAGAAGGCGAGGAGGGGAGTGGCGGGGTAAGAAGCGGGCCACCAGGTGAGGAGGTGGAGATAAGCAGCGAGAACACGGGGCCGGCCGGCAGCCAGTCCGGCGACGGCTCCGCGGAGGAAGAAGAAGGCCATGGCGATGGGGGTAAACGGAAGAAGAGGAGCAGGAAGAGCTACCACAGGCACACCTCTGAACAAGTCAGGGTTATGGAAGCGTAAGTCTCCCCTAGCCTAAGCACAGCGATGCCCACTACTTTGGAGATTTCAGTCCGAGTTCTCGTCAGTGCATTGCAGATTTGCAGTGATCAAGCAGGGCATGAGAATTTCTTTCAAGCGTGTGTGCCCATAGGGCAAGCGGAACAGGTGGCTGATGAAGGCCCATGGGCCACACAGGGCCTAGCCCATAAAGAATGGCATGTTAAACTTTTGTTTCCCTGGAAGCTAGAAATATCTTGAAACTTTTGCAGAAACATAATACAAAGTGAACTCCAACAAAGCAAGCTCTTTTCAAAAATTCTATAAGCAGTCGTGATACCCTGGTGCTGAAATTATTTTTGGTGGCTTGAAGGGTATTCAAAGAGTCGCCACATCCAGACGAAAAGCAGCGGCAGCAGCTCAGCAAGCAGCTAGGACTGTCTCCACGGCAAGTCAAGTTCTGGTTTCAGAACCGACGAACTCAGATCAAGGTTTCATCACCATCATCAAGCATGCATGCATGCGGATCACTGTTTTTTCTTTTCTTTTCTTTTTGAGTCACATGCGGATCATTGTTAGTACGTACCTTTAATTACTTGGGGTTCTAGTAATTTGATCTCACACAACACGATTAATTAATGTGTTCGATCAGGCGACTCAGGAGCGGCACGAGAACTCGCTGCTCAAGTCCGAGCTGGAGAATCTCCAGAAGGAGAACCGCGCCATGAGACAGCTTGCCAAGGGGCCCTCACGCTGCCCAAGCTGTGGCGCCGCAGCAGCCTCGACCGATGGCTTCAACGCCGCCGCGGCCAACCAAGAACAGCTGCTGCAGCTAGAGAACGCCAAGCTGAGAGCCGAGGTTCATGCCGCTGTCCCGCCAACGCAACCTTCGGTCGCGCGCGATCTGCTGCTACCAACCCGAAACTGATGCTGTGGAAGTGGAACCCATTTCAGGTAGAGAAGCTGCGGGGTGCGCTAGGGACGGCCGCGGCCGACAGAGCCGCCTCCCCTGCCTCGCCGCCGTTCTCCGCGGCCACCACCCAGATGAGCGGCAACCGGAGCCCGTTCGGAGTTTACGGCGCCGGCTTCGTGGGCCGCGACAGGCAGAGCATCCTGGAGCTGGCCGGCAGCGCGCTGGAAGAGCTGAAGACGATGTCTTCCTCCGGTGGGCCTCTCTGGGTGCGGAGCGTCGAGACCGGCCGAGACATTCTCAACTACGACGAGTACGTGCGCCTGTTCCGGCGCGACGATGGCCCGGGAGATCGGCGGACCGGCTGGTCCGTTGAGGCGTCACGTGAAACCGGGGTGGTTTACCTTGACGCGACGAAGCTTGTGCATGCTTTCATGGATGTGGTACGTGCCACCTATCTTCGCATCTTCACACACGTGAGCATGTACAGTATGCTGACAGTGTCTCTGAAAACCTGTGCAGAACCAATGGAAAGAGCTCTTCTCTTCCATGATCTCAAAGGCATCGACACTGGACGTGATCCGCACCGGCGACGACGACGATGGACACGACGGCGTGGTGCAACTGGTAGCCCAACTCCAGGACGTTAGTTCCGTCTGGTTCTGATGGATCAGCCATGGGGCTAAGCTCTGCTTCGGTTGTGTCCTGTTGTTTTTTCAGATGTTTGCAGAGGTCCAGATGCTGACGCCAATGGTACCCACAAGAGAGTTCTACTTCGCCCGCTACTGCAAGAAGCTGGCCGCGGAGAAATGGGCCGTCGTCGACGTGTCGTTCGACAAGGCTGAAGCCGACGTCGGCACGTCGCCGCTGGTCACGTGCTGGAAGAATCCCTCGGGTTGCATCGTCGAAGAGCAGGCAAACGGCCATTCCAGGGTACTGATGCAGCAAAAAACAAAATATAAATGGCTAATTTCCAATAAAGTTAACGGCTGTGTTAGCCAGACTGCGCCGTGTAATGTGATGGATTGCTGGTTGTTGTCTCCTGTGCATATTGATCAGGTGACTTGGGTGGAGCACACCAGATGCCGCGAGTGCGCGGTCCCGTCCATGTACAGGGCGGTGACCGCGAGCGGCCTGGCGTTCGGCGCGAGGCGCTGGGTGGCCCAGCTCCAGCTCCAGTGCGAGAGGATGGTCTTCTGGGTGGCGACCAACGTGCCGACGAGGGACAGCAATGGTAAGCCCGCCGCCGCTGACCATGAATCTCAGCGCACGATGCACGATTGCTGGTCATCTCAATTTAGTACCATGCTCTTGTGTTGTGTGTGCACAGGGGTCTCCACACTGGCAGGGAGGAGGAGCGTCCTGAAGCTGGCGCACCGGATGACCTTGAGCCTCAGCCGCGTCATCGGCGGGTCGCGTTGCCTGGCGTGGAGCAGGGCGCCGAGAGCAGGCGCCGGCGACGTCCGGCTGACCTCCCGGACGAACGCCGGCGACCCCGGCGAGCCGCAGGGGCTGATCGCCTGCGCCGTGCTGTCCACGTGGCTCCCCGTCAGCCCGACGTCCCTCCTGGAGTTCCTGAGGGACGAATCACGCCGGCCCGAGGTAGTCACCCGCGTGCACATTTCCGTTGCAAGAGCTATAGAAGTGATGTGCATAACCGACCACCCATCGAACTGTTGCAGTGGGATGTCACGCTGGCCGGACGAGCTGTTCAGTGTCGCATGAACCTGACGAAGGGGAAGGATCGTTGCAACTGCGTCACCGCCTACGTAAGTTCGAGAGCCAACTGATTATTCACAACGTTCCGGCAGAGTCGGTCATTGGCGGCTGCTTCTCTGGATGGCAGGCTCCCACGTCGGCCGACGGCGAGTGGATCGTGCAGGACAGCTGCACCAACCCGTGCGAGTCGATCGTCGCGTACGCGCCGGTCGACGCCGCCGTCCTGCAGCCGGTCATCAGCGGGCACGACTCGAGCGGCGTGGCCCTCCTGCCGTGCGGCTTCGCGGTGGTGCCGGACGGGCTGGAGTCCAGGCCCGCGGTGATCACGTCCAGGAGGGAAGGCGGGGCGGCGGCCGGGTCGCTGGTCACCGTCGCGTTCCAGGTGCTGGCCAGCTCGTCGCCGGCGGCCGCGCTCTCGCCGGAGTCGGCGGAGACCGTGACGAGCCTGGCGTCCTGCACGCTGCGTCGCGTAAAAAAGGCCTTGGGGTGCGAAGACCGCTGACCGTTGCGGTAACTCTCAAATGTTGTACGTGCTGGACATGATGTTTACAGGATAAAATGGTACCCTCTGGAAGATACTGTACAGCTAATGAGCTAAATGGATGTTTTGGTTCGTATACAATTGGAACGTGTATAATCATATAAGAAAGTTCAGTCGTGCTTGGGGATAGATCTTGGTTGTTGGTAGAGCAAGCTTGTTCCTATCCACGGCGGAACGCAAAAATATGCAAAGACCGATCCAAGTGTCTGGATTGCATGACGTCTCACTCACCCCAGAAAAGAGCGACCACCCGTTGCCATCCAACGGCTGCATTTATCTGTCTCACACACCATAATTGGTTGCAAGCTGGGCCAGTTTTTTTTAAGAGGTAATAGCACCCCAGATCCATGAACTTGCACGAGATGTGATGATTTACTCCAAAAGTTGCAAAAGTGAACTGAGGGATCCCGAAACTTGCACCCTTTATGTGATGTTTTAGTCCATAGCCCATCAGAGCTCGACAAGTGGCAACTGAGAGCTCGGGGCGGTCAGCGCTGTCGTTTTTGCACAAAGCCCCCTGCTGTTCCGTTGAATTAACTCGCACTACTTCACACCTGAATATACAACAGCTCCTGCCGTTGTCCCCGTTCACCCATCCCGTTCCCCTTTCTCCTTCCTGTTCCCCCTCCTCCATCCTCTCCCTTCCTCTGTCGACGCCGACCGTCTGAGCAAGCTCCCTTCCCCCATCCCCTGCCCTTGTACTAACATTTGCACAGCTCCTGGCCATGGTTTCTTAGAGCGATTCAGCCAGCTCGTCAGACGCTGATTCCGTCAGTAGCGAAGTGCAGGTTAGATCTTTATTTGTGGTAGCTAGGGTTTCTTTGGATGTGCTTTTGCAGTTAGCAAATGAAGCTGATTTATTGTTGTTTTAGCTACCTGGCACCATCTTATGCTTGGAATGGAGCGGCATGGCCACATATCTGAGTTCTAGATGTGAGCATGCATGTGTGTATGAGAAGCTGGTGGCATTTGAATCAGTGGATAGTGGGAGGAGATTCCTAGCTTGTGCACAGAAGGTTAGTACCTAATTTAGTCTTAAGATTGTTTTGTGTAGTTCAAGTTTGGAAGCTCATACATGTTAAGCTCATAAATGTTAACTGAATATTTTACTGTAGTTTTGTTAAGTGGAGAGATTGGTCTTTGTAGATCTTTCAGTTAGCAGAAATTAATATGTGTAACTAATCTGAATTTCTGGAAGTAGACTAAGTTTTGTCAACTAAACTGACTTTTGTTGAGCATCTTATGTCTGAACATCTGTAGTGAATATTTACTTGTTAGCCAGTAATGGTCATTGTAATGAATATTTTTCTTTGTTGCAAATTTGTAGAAAATACCTAAATGCAGCTATCTGGAGTGGGTTGACCCTGAGTGGCCTGCCCCATTGAAGATGAGCCCAGCTAGGATCTGGGGTGTCGGTGTCAAAACCGGCGGATCTCGGGTAGGGGATCCCGAACTTTGCGTCTAGGCGGATGGTAACAGAAGACAAGGGACACGATGTTTTACCCAGGTTCGGGCCCTCTTGATGGAGGTAAAATCCTACGTCCTGTTTGATTAATATTGATGATGTGTGTTACAAGAGTAGATCTACCACGAGATCAAGGAGGCTAAACCCTAGAAGCTAGCCTATGGTATGATTGTTGTTCGTCCTACGGACTAAAGCCATCCGGTTTATATAGACATCGGAGAGGGCTAGGGTTACACAGAGTCGGTTACAGTGGTAGGAGATCTACATATCCGTATCGCCAAGCTTGCCTTCCACGCCAAGGAAAGTCCCATCCGAACACGGGACGAAGTCTTCAATCTTGTATCTTCATAGTCTTGGAGTCCGACCGATGATGATAGTTCGGCTATCCGGACACCCCTTAGTTCGAGACTCCCTCAGTAGCCCCTGAACCAGGCTTCAATGATGATGAGTCCGGCGCGCATATTGTCTTCGGCATTGCAAGGCGGGTTCCTCCCTCCGAATAATTTATAGAAGATTGTGAACACCAGGATAGTGTCCGGCTCTGCAAAATAAATTCCACATACCACCGTAGAGAGAATAATATTACACAAGTTCAATCTGCTGACGTATTTGGTGGCGTGACGTCACACCACTACCAAGCCTTTACTTGAATTGTTTTTATTGTACCACCTCAGCGCGTTTAGCGAAGCGGTTTTCTTGGCACGTCTTGTCGAAGCAGAGATTGTGTTCCCCTTATTCCGGGATTCCCATCAATACGGTCGTGGGTAACCCAACTGCGCCATTGATTGCGGCGCTTGGGAGATAAGCGAGTTTTATCAGGCCGGTGGGGACACATGTTTTTGTCCGCCCATATAAGGGGATAAAGACCCAACCCTTTTACCTGCGCCTTCTTCCTCGGCTTATCCATCTCCGTGAACTCGAGCTCTAGCGCCCAAGTCCTCACATCTCACCTCAACCTTCTCCAAATATGTCCGGAGCGGGAGGCAAGTGGATGGCCTCCTCCGTCACGGAGGGGCAGATCCAGAAGTTGCGCAGCGCCGGATATTTGTCCAGAAACATCATGCACTGGCTCCCCGACAAGGGAGAGCTCATCCCCACCCCAGGCCCCATGAGAGGGTAGTATTCCTTCCCCATTTCCTCCGCGGACTGGGCTTCCCACTCCATCCCTTTGTCCGGGGGCTCATGTTCTACTATGGCCTGGATTTCCATGATCTGTCCCCGAATTTCATCCTCAACATCTCGGCGTTTATCGTCGTGTGTGAGGCCTTCCTCTGCATCCAGCCCCACTTCGGCTTGTGGCTCAAGACCTTCAGTGTCAAGCCGAAGGTTGTGAAGGGCAGCCAAGCAGAGTGCGGAGGCGCCATGGTGGGCAGGATGTCCCACGTTACTTGGCTTGAGGGCACTTTCATGGAGACCATTAAGGGGTGGCAATCGGGGTGGTTCTACATCACCGAGTCGCGTGACCCCGAATGGGCAGCGGCCCCCGAATTCAGATCTGGCATCCCCACACGGCTCACCTCCTGGAAAGAGAGCGGCCGGACATGGGGTGATTCGGAGGAGCTGACCGGACTCCAAGCCTGCATCCAAAAGCTAGTGGACAAGAAGCTCAAGCTTGTCAACGTAGTCCAGGTCATGCTTATCCGCCAGATTCTCCCGTGCCAACGACGGTGCTTCAACATGTGGGAGTTTGATCCAGCGCAACACCAGACTTTGAGCGGGCTCTTTGACACTACGTACGAAGATGTCTGGAAGGTGCTGTTCAAGGGCGCCGAGGCTCCCGCATCCGCTACCGAAGATCGCGGATTCAGCTCGCAGCGTCCAACTGACGAGGTAAGTGATTTTGTCCTTTACGGGACGCTTGTTTTCTATAGTGTGACTCTATGCGGGATCTAAACTCCCTTTCCTTTGACAGGACTGGCTGAAGAAGGCCGAACAGACTATCTGTCCGGCCCCATTACCAGAGGACCCATCGGACGCTCGCTTGACAGGGCTGCTGGCTCCGGCACCCCACGTGGTGCCGGAGAAGAAGGCCAAGAAGAAGGTCACGGGCACTCGGAAGAGTTCCCGTTTTTAGGTGTTATCGGATGATGACTCCGAGGCCGACTCCTCTCACAAAGGTGAGGAGGAGAAGAAGAAAGCCTCTCCCCCAGCGGGGGGAGGGAGGAAAAGGAAGGCCTCCCCAACGAGGGAGGCCGAAGGGTCCAAGAAGGGAAAAACTCTTTCCCCGGACTGCTCTGCCAACGCCTGTGACGACGACGAGGACTGGCCTCCAAGGGCCAAGCCCCTGGCGAGATCGTAAGTATCCGGACTCCCGAATAACTTCATGGTTTTTCTTTTTTGCCACACAATGTCTTTCTAATGCCGCATAAAACCCTATAGTCCGCCCAAGGATGATCTTCCCGCTTCATCGAGCGGGTCCTTAGGTGCGTCAGATATGGATTCTCTTTCGACCGCCTCCACCCCCTGTGACACGAACGATGCCGAGGTGGGATCCCGGGAAGGGACCCACCAGGAGGAGGAGGCCCCGGAGGTGTCGCAGAACAACCTCCCGGACTTTGCACCGGACTCGGCCCCGGAACCCATAGTGGCTCCGGAGTCCGGCGGGCGGCCCCTTTGTAAGAAGGGCAAGACCGTGATGCCGACAGCCTCCGTCCAACCGGAGGCGCCGGATAGCTTGCTGGAGGTGCTCAATGGCGCCTCCATCGAAGAGGAACACTGCACTGTTATGAGTGCGGTGATTCAGAAGGTTCAGCTCGCCAAGAGCGGGCTGACCGAAGCCTGCAGCAGCCTTCTAACAGGCTTTGAGGTAAGAATTTTGATATATGTAAAATAGTACCGCATAGACAGTAGCCCCTGATGCTCGGTTCGGTGTTCGTGCAGGCTGTGCTGCTGACCTCTGCCGCACTGACTGCGGAGGTCAATACTTTGAAGCAAAGCCTCGAGCGGTCCGAGAACGAGCTCGGCCGTGCCAAGAAGCAGCTCGGGGACAAGGAAGGTGAGTAACACCTTATTAAAGTTGTACCTTACAGAAAAGGATTTTGATTGCAAGAAGAATGACAAGGATAACGTAGGTATTGCAGGGGCCACTAACGAGGTGGCGACCCTGAAGGAGGCGGTGTCCGTGGCCGAATGTAATGCGGCCACGGAACGCACCGAGCGAGAGAAGCAGGAGGCGCGGGTGGCGGAGGTACAGCAAGAGCTCCAGGCTCTCATGGAAAAACATGAGGGTTTGGAGCGTGACTCGAAGGCTCGAGAGTCCGAGCTTGCGACGGCTCTTGAGAGTGCCAAAGCCACTAAGGCCGAAGCCTATAAGGCCCTCCAGGAAGTCGAGGCGGGGAAGAAAATAGCGGCGGGTAAGGCGTTTTTCATGCAAAGTAAGCATGTGAGTGTGAATTACATATCACTTACCCGAATTTGAAGCTCTCAAGGAGCGTTCGCAGATCTGCCCTGCAGCGTGTCCGATGCTGCCGCTTTCTACAGGGCCAAGGAGGGGAGC